CGCAAATATTTAAATATAACTTGAACTATGTATACAAATATATGCATATATATATGTATGTAAATGTGTATGTATACATATATAAATATATACGTATATATATATATATATACACACGCAACTATGTAAACCTACATTGAAGTATGTATAAAATGTGTATATATATAGTTAGATAGATAGATAGATAGATATTGGAAATACCCCAGAACAAAAAAAAAAAAAAAAAAAAAAAAAAAAAAAAAAAAAAAAAAAAAAAAAAAAAAAAAAAAAAAAAAAAAAAAAAAAAAAAAAAAAAAAAACGCCCTCCCCCTCTTGCGGGGCACTTCCTAAAATCTGCGGCGAGCTGGGGGCCCAGCAGTCGGTCGGCTCACGGCGGGAGCGTCGGAGGATGACCAGCGACACGCACAGGCGAGGCGCGACCGGGGGAGGGCGGCGCGGGACGGTCGGCGAGCGGCCTGCCAGAGCACGAGGGAAGCTCGGCGCGGCGCGCCCCGGGGGGGAAAGCAAGCATTAAAACAGGGCTAGGATCGGGATAAATCGCTCCAGAGCGTTCTGGAGCGCTCCCAGAGCGTTCCGGAACGCTCTGGAGCGGCCGCGGCGCCCAACACGTCCTCCAAACCCGCCGATTCTCAGAGATTTCGAGGTATACCGATCCGATTTTGTCCCGATCTCCGCGTCGTTTTAAGCATGGGAGCACGGCACCCAAACCCCCTCGCGCTGTGAGCAGAACGCGCGACGGGGAGCTTTTGGCTGCGTTCGGCCCCCGGGGGGCCCTCGGCGGGCCCCGGGACCGTCAAGAACGACTCGGGATGAAAAACGGGTCCCGGGGAAGGGGTCCAGACCTCCAGGGGTCGACGTTGTGAAAAAATCACGACGTCGGGGGTCTGGGGGGCGGGCCTGTTCAGAAGCTGTCCAGCAACTACGCCGCGTCGAGGCTTTCCAGCAGCTGCGCCTCGTCGAGAGCTTTCCGGGGGTGCCTGGATCGTCCCGAGCGGCCGCCAGAGGCCCGAGTTATGATTCGAAAACCACCAGCGCAGTGGGCAGGACTTCTCAGAAGACTCGGAAACCCACCCGGCCTTCTGAAAAGTTGCTCTATAAACCTTCCCCGAAGACACCGAAGACTTCTCAGAAGGCGCGAGGGCTTCTGAGAAGTCCCACCTCCTTCTGAGAAGGCTTTCTCCTTCTTCCCGGGTCCTGGGGCAACGGATCCGGAGGTCCCGGGCATGGGGTGGGGTGAGGGTGGGGGGTTTTCGCCCCCGCCAAGATTCGATGCAAACATACATACGTACATACACACCTATCTACCTACCTACTTACCTACCTGCCTACCTACCCACCTACCTACCTACCTGTATACATACATACATACATACATACATACATACAGACAGACAGACAGACAGACAGACAGACAGACAGACAGACAGACAGACATACATACACACACATACATACACACGTACATACTTACTTGCATACATACATACATACATACATACATGCATACATGCACACATAGATACATGCATGCATGCATGCATGCATGCATGCATACATGCATGCATGCATGCATACATACATACATACATACATGCACACACGTACATATATATATATATGGAATTACGTAAATATAAGACATACGTACATACACATATATACATACATACATACATACATACATACGTACACACATACACACATACCTATATACATACATACATACATACATACATACATACGTACATACATACATACATACATACATACATACACACAAACATACATACATACATACGTACGTACGTACGTACGTGCATACATGCATACATACATACATACATGCATACATGCATACATACATACACACGCATACATACATACATACATACATACATACATACATACACACACATACATACATACATACATACATACATACACACATACATACATACATACATATATACATATATATACATACATACATACATACATACATCCGTACATACACACATACACACATACAAACGTACATATACACATGCATGTATACACACAAACATGCATACACTCATGCGCACGTACGTACGTACATACATACATACATACGTACATACATACGTACATACATACGTACATACATACCATCATACGAGAGGGCGCGCCCACAGGGCCCGAGCGAAGGGGGTGGGCTAGGCTTAAGCTACCCCCCCTCCCTTGAGCCGCCCTTGTTGGAAGCACCCCCCCCCGTTTTTTTTGCTGGGGGGGGGGGGCTTACAGCTACCCCCCCCTCCCCCCTTGGGCCTCCCCCGGAAGCTACCCCCCCTCCCCCCTTTTCCAAAGAGGGGGGGGTGCTTAAGCTACCCCCCCCCCTCCCTTGGCGCCGCCCTGCTGGAAGCTACCCCCCCTCCCCCCCTTTCGTGCAAAGGGGGGGGGGGCTTGGAAGCTACCCACCCCCCACCCCCCTTTGGCCGCCCCGGAAGCTACCCCCCCCTACCCCCGGGGGGGTGCTTAAGCTACCGCCCCCCTCCCTTGGAGCCGCCCTGCTGGAAGCTCCCACCCCCCTCCCCCCCTTTGTGCCAAAGGGGGGGGGGGCTTGGAAGCTTGCCCCCCCCCCTTGCCCCCTTTGGCCGCCCAGCCCCCGGAGCCTCCGCCCTCCCTTTCGCCGACGATCCAAAATGAACAATCCACGATCGAGGATGGACGATCGACGATCAACGATCGACGATCGAAAATCCCAATCGAATCGCTTGCAATCGATTGCATCCCTTCCACTGCAATCCCCCTCCCCACCTCCCTCCGCTCCCTCCCCTCCCTCCACACCCTTCGTTCCATCTCCTCCCTCCCCTCCCTCTCCTCCCCTCCCTCCCTTCCGTCCTGTCCCTCCCCTGCAATCCAATCGATTGAATCGATTGCAATTCAACCGATTGCAATCCAATCAATTGCAATCCAATGGATTGCAATCCAATCAATTGCAATCCAATGGATTGCAATCGATTGCAACGCAAGTGTATCATTCAACTCGTCCCGTGCCAACGCCCGGGAACGAAAAATACTATTATGCTATACTCGTGTCTTGGGCAAGTCAGGAATCCACAATATACAATCCTGGAGGAACACAAAAATACTATTCTACACTACCTCTCCCTTTGCGGCGCCTTCCCCTCGCTCCTCTTCCTACCCTCCGCACCCTCCGCCGCCTCCATATCCTCTCCTCTTTCCCCTCCCTCACCTCCCTCCCCTCCATCCCCTCCCTCCCCTCACTCCGCCCCCTCCGCTCCCTCCGCCCTCTCCCCTCCATCCCCTCCCTCCTCTCTGTCCCTTCCCTCCCCATCCATCCTCTCACTCCCCTCCCTCCCCTCCATCCCTCCCCTCCCTCCTGTCCCTCCCCTGCATTCCAATCGATTAGAATCAAATCGATTGAAATTCAACCGTCAACAATAATGACTCAAAAATCTACCAACAATGAAACACACACCAGACCTACCAAAATTCAACGAACGTCAAGGGTCAACGAAAACCTACAAAAAAAACTCAAACTTCTTCAAAAAACAACAAGCAACATACAAAATTAAAACATCAACGAAAATCAACAAGAATACACAGAAAAGCAATACACAAAAACAAATTAAAAGGTTTCAGACATCAAGCATCAACGAGAATCCACAAAAATCCAGACGTCGACATGCGTCAACAAAAAAAGGCCATCGAAGGTCGACACCCTTTGGAAGCTTCTCGGAACGTTCCTCAGACTCGTACTTCCTCCTCATCTCCCGACCTCCTCCTTCCCCCTCCTCCTCCCTCCTCCGCCCTCCTCCACAATCTCACCAGCCCTTTAGGGCGTGAGTGGTTTAGCTCGCCCATATTCCCTTCTTCCAACCCCCTTTCTTCTCCTTCGGGGGCGGGGTTACCCCTCCCCCTACCCCCTCCCCTGGACCTGGAGGGGGGATTTCGCAAGGTGTCAGAGCGTCCTTTTTGGCCCAAGATGGCTCCAAGGAGCCTCAAAGCGCTCCAGATGGCTTCTAAGATACCTCAAGATAGCCCCACATCGCTTCAGCTCGCTCACAATATGCGTCCAAGAGCCTCCGGCACCGCCCCAAGACAGCCCCAAGTCGTCAAGGAGCCATCCAAGGAGGCCCTCGAGAAAAAACCAATGTTTGTTTGCCTTCTCGCCTTTTCGCTCCCGATTGACTCTTGAGGCCTCAAGATGACCCAAGACGGCCCCAAGAGAGCCCCAAGACGGCCCCAAGAGCGCCCAAGAGCGCCACAAGAGAGCCCCAAGACGCGTTTTTTGTTCGGGCCTCGAGGGGGGACCGAAAAAAAAACTCCCGTCTCTTTTGGTCGATGGCCTCCAAGATTCCCCAAGAGAGGCCCAAGAGGGGTCCCTGAGGGCCCCAAGACGGCTCCAAGAGCGCCCAAGAGAGCCCCAAGAGCGCTCCAAGAGAGCTCGAAGAGAGGTCCACGAGGGCCTCAGAGCCCTCCAACACGTCCTCAAGAAGACCCTATGATGGCCCCAAGAGACCTACAAGACGCTCCCAGCTCTCGATACTTACTGCATTTCGCTAGAGTGGCTGTTTTAGGATGGGCTGGTGGGGATTCGTGAAGCGTGAACAATTTCTTTGTCCTCTCTCCTCCCCCAGACCTCCCCGATACCTCATCCCGGAACAACCTCTGGGAAACAAGCAACATTCAACAGTCGCAATCGAAGCTCAACGATCGAGGATTGGATGCCAATTCCATCGATGAGTCTCCGCCCTCCCTTTCACCGTCGATCAAAAATCATCGATACGCAATCGAAGATGACAATCGACAATACACATTCCTGCATCGTCTATCATCGATCGTCGATCCTCGATCGTCGATTGAAGATCGACGATGGCACTCGATTTCCTCCATACTTGCCTCCCTTCCTTGACCTGCCGGCCCTCCGACCCCTCCTTCGCCTCCCTTCCGACAACGCTCTCTCCCTCCCTCCCCTCCCGCTTCACCACGCCGCTAAGCCTCACCACGGCGAATCACCGGAACTCGCGGGCCGCCCTTGCGAAAACACTACAACGTTAACAAACCAAATCGAAAGATACCACTACCGCGGAGCCGCTCCTGAAGCGCTCTAACCAGAATCACGACACGAATCCAACCCTGACGACGAGGCCTCACCAAGAGGAGCGTCAGCATGAGTACAATCAAAACCATACCAAAAATATACAAAATAAGCCAAAGCCCATATGCAGTTCCCGGAACAGACGAATCCGCCGACTCTGCCGGCGTGTGGCTGATCTGCTCTGGTTAACTCGTCGTCGTCGCCGCCGCTCTCCCGACATTCACCGGGCCCCTCGCCTCGAGCACCGCCAGCCAAAGCGAGATGGTTAAGCATAGGTGTGGTGGAAACAGAGAAAGCCCCCCTTCCCTTTGATCTCGTCCCCAATACAAAAAAAAACAGAATTCCGGAGAGAGTTCCCGGTCGAACCCCTGAAGCCTCCCGGGCGAATCCCAGAAACAGTCCCGGAGGAACTCCGTACCCGGAACGACGCTCCCCCGGACAGACGTCGGGCACAGAGAGCCACCGGGCGACAGCGAGTCCCCAAGCAGAAGCAGTTGACGGATGCCAGAACGAGAAAGCGACAAGGACATAGGATGATAAAAGGAGACCGTAAAAAACAAGCATTGGACCATGGGTTTGGGAGAAGAGGAACGGAGGAGGACACCAGAACGAAAAGACACATCTCACAACAAACAATGTAGAGACAACATGAGCGAAGGGGAAACATAGAAAGGCTCGGAAAAAGGGCACTGCAGGCGCGGTCCCGCCACTAGCAGCAATGGCCGAACCGCGCTTCTCTATCTCTCTCTCTGTCATTCGTCCATTCTCACGTTCTGCTTACGTCACATTCTCACATTTGACGATATGTCGCTTCATGCTTCATTTACATGTACCTGTCACATCTTCACACAACATATCTATGTTACTCATTCTATTGTTGTATTAATTCCTCTGTATAACTCTGTCCTCTCTCAAACTCACAGTCGCTTTTCAACGTGTTTCAAGTTTTCTATATTTATAACCCCCGTTTTATGAACACACAGAGGCCATAGATACGATAGTGCCGACCAAACAAAGCCTCACTGGGAGCTACCGAAGCTCCATTGGCCACTCGGCAGCATCCACATGAACCCCCGTCACGCTGGCCGCCTTACCGCGATCGCACGCACAGGAATAAACTGTGTGCATGTGTACGTGTGTGCGTGTATGCATACGTCTACGTGCGCAAAGAACCACCCGCAAACCCAAACACGCAAATGGTTGCACCAACCATGGTAACATCACCAGACAACCCAAACCGGGGAACCGCATTTGCAACGCTGAAGACTTAGATTGTGATGACACGTGTCAAGGTCTCTGCGCTGCGCAACGCGTTGCTGTAATCTCTCTCGCGGTGGCGCTCACACCGCCTTAGGCATCCGGCCCCCTGTCCACGCGAAGCCCCGTCGCACCCACCGTCGTTGTATGTCGCGCCCGCCCGGGAACCGAAAGCAACAAAACCATTCCGTCAGGCGACAATCCTCCCTCCTCCTCCTCCTCCCCCCATTCCTCCTCCTCCTCTTCCACGCATGCACTTACATGCGTACGTACGCAAAAATATACACACGTACACTTATACGAACCCGCAGAGCACATACATACATGCATACGCGCACACAACTACTATTCAATTATAAGGTGTTAGCGGGAAGCCGCCTGCCGGGACCCGACGAAGTCGGAGGCGCGCAGTGCAGAGGGCAGCCGCGCACGAGCCTCGCAACAGGCGCAAGGCAAATCTTCCGAGCGCGCGGACTCTACCCCTCGTGCACCTGCAAGCGCTCCGAGAGGAGGGAGCCGTCAAGAGATGGGAGGCGAAGGAGGAATCAAACATGACAATTTCGACGCAGCAGGCAATGCCTCACCCTCGTCGCGTAGCAAAGACAATCTAACAAATACCTACGTGGCGACGAGGACAGAGGATAGAGGAGAAAAAAAAGGGCACGCCTTCGTCGCCGAAGCCAAACAGGGAAACGGTACTTTCAAAGGCGCGACGTGAACTGCACCGTCTTGTGGGACAGACACTTCAGCTGTTCATACCATCGACGGGGCAAGCAAGCCCAAGACGACAGTGAACCGAGACGCCTGGCGTCGGGCTGCCGCGGCGCCCTGCGCTGAGCGCCGCTCGCGCGGGCGCGGCTGGCGCCGCCTGCGGGAACGCTGGCCCTGGCTGGGCGGCCGCAGATTTGTAAAGACTTGTACCACGGCCTCGGTAGAGCGCGGCGCGCGGCGCCCTCCCCCCCCCTCCCTCCGCGCCGCCCCTTCTCTCTCTCTCACCCTCTCTCTCTCCCCCCCCTCTCGCGCTGAGCGGCGAGGACAACAATCCAGAGCCTCAGCGGGCGCAAGCGAAAGAAAAGCACGGTCGAAAAGCAGAGAAGGTGGACAAACAAAAGCGCCAGTTACTTGAAGCTGCTTGGATCCCAAGCCCCCCCCGGGAGGGGGGGGGAGCTTCAAGCCCCCCCCCCCCCCCCTTTTGCACCAAGGCAGGGAGGTGGGGGAGCTTCCGAAGCCCCCCCCCTTTAAACGGGGGGGGGGCTCACCCCAGCTCCATTAAAAGGAGGGAGGGGGAGGTAGCTTGGAGGCCCCCCCCCCTTTTCTGGCCACGAAAAGAGTGGGAGGGGGGGGGAGCTTCCGAAGCCCCCCCCCTTTCAAAGGGGGAGGGGGTGGCTCACCCCTGCTCACTTAAGGGGGGGAGGGGGGGGGGTAGCTTGGAAGCCCCCCCCCCCTTTCCGGCCACGAAAAGGGAGGGAGGGGGGGGAGCTTCCGAAGCCCCCCCCCTTTAGCAAGGAAGGGGGGAGGGGGGGGTAGCTTCAAGCTGGGACCCCCCTTTTAGTCTGTCGGGCCCCACGAGCGCGGTCTATCATACATACATACATACACACATACTTACCTTCCTACCGACCTACCGACCTACCGACCTACCGATCTACCGACCTACCGACCGACCGACCGACCTACCTACCTACCTACCTACATGCATGCATACATACATACATACATACATGCACACATACATACACACAAACACACACCCACACATGCATACGCACATGAGTACGAGTATGTGTTCACGCGCATTCATGCAACAAGGGACAGAAAGAGAGACATGTGTATATATAGAGAGAGAACATATTGCGAGAAAGAGAGAGAGAGGAAGAAAGAACGAAAGACAGCAACAGAGAAGCATCAACCACAGCACAGATAACACAAAAAGGAGACAGGAAACCCAAGCCAACAGGCAAATGTTGACAGGCACGCCTGGGCGGCTCCGCCGTCCTGAGGCTCTCGGGCGGCAGCGCTCGCGAGCCCTGCCCCGCGGCGCCCCGCCGCGTCCCCCGAGTGGGACTCGGAGGGGCGAGACGAAGAAGGAGGAGGAAAGGAGGGCGGAGGGAAGAGGAAGAGCGGGAGGAGAGTGAGGAGGGGGAGGGAAGAGGAGGAACGGGAGGGAGAGGGAAGAGGAGGAGCAGGAGGAGAGTGGGGAGGAGGAGAAAAGGGAGGACGTGGAGGAGGAGAGCGGAGAAGGAAGGAACGGGGGGGGGATACCGCCCGCGCGCCGCGCCGCCGCAGCTGCCTGCTATTGCTCGCTGCGCTGCCTGCTGGGATTGATTGCGACTATGGCAGTCGCCATGAGGTCTAGCGAGAACGAGCAGAGGGGTAAGGAGTAAGACCGGGAGGGGCGAGGGAGCAGGAAGAACAGGTGGTAGAGGAGGAGGTGGCAGGGGAAGCCAAGCAAGGGGGGCCTGGACTCAGGCTGGGAGGCGGATGAGGCATGGAGAGCGAGAGAAAGGTCGAAAGAGAGCACGCTCTGGAACTATGAATGCTTCTTCTCCCCCTGCCCAGCATCTCCCCCTTTGCCTCCTCCGCCTCCCCCCCCCCGCCTCCTCCTCCCTCCCCCTTCTCCTCCTCCTTTTCCTCCTCCTCCTCCTCCTCCTTTTCCTTCTCCTCCTCCTCCTTCAACTTCTCCTCCTCCTCCGCTTCCCCCCCCGCCTCCTCCTCCTCATCCGCCTCCTCTTCCTGTCCCGCCCACCCATAGACCCCCACGAGGTTCTCAAGGCAGTGTGGCTCGAAATTCCACACGCTTTGCACCTGAGAAGGCGGGCCCCGTACTGAGACATTACCAGATATCGCGGCGCCAGCCGCGTGGAACAGGAACACACGCCAAATCCTTCGAGTATCGGCTGGCCTGCGGGAAAGAGTTGGAGCAAACATCGTGCAGCGGAGCCACACCATCATGGCATCATGACGGTTAAGTTCCCGCGTGCATCACCAGGCCAGGAGGAACGCATGCGACACAGACAAGAGGTCGAGCAAACGCCAAGCTGGGTTTACAAGGTTCATTTGAAGATTGGCGAACGGAATTTCACCGTGAAGGGGGGGGGGTCACAAACCTCCCAGACGAGCAAATTCGAGCAGAAGATTGGAACCCCGTAGCAGTTGCGCTGGTACAGGGCAGCTCCTTCTCAAAATGAGGGCCTCGCCTGCGATCTCCTCTAGCTCAGAGCCAGGAGCTCGAGCCTGTGATGCGAGTCGGCCGCACGGATCGGGAGGGGGGGAGGGCGAGGAGGAGCAGGAGGAGCAGGAGGAGGAGGAGGAGGAGGAGGAGGAGGAGGGGAGGAGGAGGAGGATGGAGGATGGAGGATGGAGGATGGAGGAGGAGGAGGAGGAGGAGGAGGAGGAGGAGCTTCTCTTTCAGAACGGCACTCTCGCCTCAACGGCAGGCCAGGCTGGCGCTCGTCTTTTAATATGGGGATTCTCTCTCGCAGTGCCCAGGCGGCTCGTGTGAGGGGACTTTTGGGACGGGGGGTACCGTACTGCAGAATCGCTGGTGCATCCTGAATGCATGCAGCTGTTCATTCTCCTACTCCTCCTCCGCGTCCTCCTCGTCCTCATCTTTCTCCTCCTCTTTCTACTCCTTCTCCT